CCCCCCCTTGAGGCCCTTCGTTCGTAGGTGACACGCTCTAGTCACTCCGGGCTTTTTATTGGTTTCAGGCTTTCATGTTCTAGACTGTGAGATGGGGAAAGATAACTTGGCCCGAGTGGCGGGGTGACTGCTACCGGGCGTTCCCAGGCTAGCCCCTCCGAACTGTCAGCCCCGCCGAGCTCGTGTGCCCTATTTCGAAACACCAAGAAATCCCCTTTTCTGCACCACGCCGCAGGAGGAGGAACTGAAATAGGGCGGCGGCCAGCCCTGCGCAGACCGGGGACTGTGTGTGTACCTCGCCCACCTTCGCCCTACTGACTGCGCAGCCACTCGGGCTGGGGTCCACATTGCAGGAGTGCTTGTAGTGCTCTGCGGGTCAGAGGCGTCCTCCCTTCCCTCGGAGTTCTCGAAGGTTCGCAGGCCGTCTGCCCCGCCCCCGGCGCTGGGCCCCCACCTCCGTGCTCCCAAGTCGCGCCCGCTCTGCCCCCCCCCCCGCAACCTCCCCATCCTTGACTCCTTGCCTATGTGAACATGAATAATTCCGCAGCACGTCCCATCTGTTATTGCCATAGAGACAGAAGCTCGGCAAAGATAATGATGTTCTGTGCAGAGCCGGGTGGGGGGGAGCAGCATCTGCGGTACTGGGAGAATAGTTCTAACCGGCGGGGTGGTCTCAAGCCTGGCTAAAGCCGAGGTTTTTACCTGGGCTGTCCAGAGACGACTCCGCACCTGATCCCCTGGCACCTGCTCTGAGTGTAGCCAGAAACAAGTTTAGAAACCAAGATAACAGTGTTTTAAATGATTCTGAAACTGCAGTTAATGGCGAAGTATTAAGTAGTAATCTTACCAACCATAAAAGTAATTACTAGTATGGCCAAAGGCCTAATAAGCAAAATTAACTGGACAGTAAATAGACTTCAGAAATCAAATACGTTATTCTATTCTTTTGCTTTCCCCAAGAATCTATTCTTGAAGGATCTTTTATGTTTGTGATTTCATGTATAATGACTGGGAAAATAACAACAGCCACATGGCTAGAACCAAATTGGGGGGTGGGGAATCGGTAGGGGTGGGTCAGAGGCATTTTCGCCATTATTCCTCGATGACGAAATAAAATTTACTTTGCCCTTCAATTCCCAAAGTCTTGACATGAAGATACAGGTTTGAATACATGTGAAACCAAGCCTAGTACATTTACATAGCTCTCATGCAGGTGGGGAGGCTCTTTCTGAGCCACACTTTTACAGTCTACTTAGGGGTTTTCAGAAATTCCAATAAAATGTACAATGTAAAATTAGAGCTGAGAATTAGCTCAGTTGGTAGAGTGCTTTCTTACCATGCATGAAACCCTGGGTTGACCCTTGGCACTGCATACAGTGTGGTGGCATATGCCTGTAATCCCAGTTCTCTGGAGGCAGAGGCAGGAGGATCAGAAGTTCAAGATCATCCTCTGCTACACAGTAAGAGGCCAGCACTTGGGGAGGGGCAGCAGCATATGCACACATGTACAAGCACATCTGCACAAACATGTATACACATGTACACACCACATACCCGAAAAAAGAAAATTACTGTGTGGTAATGTATGTTGTAGTTCCACATATTGGTAGTCTTTATCAGTGTGGAAAAGTTAAGTACTAGTCAGTAAACAGCTTTCAGATGGATTTCACTCATCTTCTTGACTGCCCACAGATTCTGAAGAAGATGGGCATGACAGTGTGCCTGTGTGCTTCTAAGAACTCCAAAAGACGGGGCAGAGTTCTTGCCCACTATTTCATCTTTCCATGAAGCAAGTACAGAAAGGATCCAAAGTAACTGGAACTAAATAACTTGGAATCCCCTCTTTAGAGTATGCTTGTCTGGTAATAGAAGATACTAAGACTCTAGATGCTACATATTTGAAAACCAATTCTTCTCTGTTGTTCATTCTTCTTTTAATTGATCTGTTATTATATTAAACAACTAAGGTTAGGGTTAAAATGGAGAGGTGAGGTCAGAATATACACTAGACACTGTTGTTGTTTTATATATTCTCGATTCTAATGCAGCTAATTGTGATAAAGTAAATTGTAAGTAAGGATGACTTCTAACAAGAAGCTTTCACCTATTTCAGAAAGGAGACCACCCCAGGCTATCCCATAGACAAGGAATGATGTAACCAATAAGAACTACAGCCACAGCCTGGTAACTGTGCTAAGTGTCAGCTGTCCATAGACAGTAAAGGAAAAAGGCCCATGATAAACCCCACAAGCTGGATACGTAAAGGAAAAGAACAAAGAGTGCCTAGTTTTAATCAGCAGATAGCAGACCCCCACCAAAGTCTAAGACTAGCAACACCTACAAGGTTGGAGAGTACCTATGCCAGCCACTACGACGAGCTAACGACCAGCAATCAAGGTCAACAGCTAATTAAGCAAGTCAGAGATGGGCTGAAGGGGTCTTCAAATTGTGACCACTCCCCCAGTTGAGCGAGCAGCTTGTGAACAACACATGATCATCTCCTGGGTTGGCCCAGGAGTGTAGGCCCTTCATTGGCTCAACTTGTGATATGTGAGGAGAATTAACCCATTTCAATAGAAAGTTCCTCAGTCTATGACTAGTTTCTGTCTTGAGTCTTATAAAAAGCCCCTAGACAAACAGCTCAATGGGTTTTTCCCCTCTCTTGAGTCCCCTCTGGAGCTAATCTAACCTTTCCAGTAACTCTCTCTTGGGTCTTGAGCTTTGCTTGCTTTGTAGAGCTCTGCTTTCTTTCTATAATCTTTGTTCCAAGTTCTCTATGTAACAAAAACTTCACATCCACCCTTCTTGTCATGAATTTCATTCTTGGAGCTTGGGAGATAAGTTCTCAATGGTAGTTTTGTGTGCCTGTGAGCATCAGGTACCCTAACTCCTGAGTGATACATGCCTAAAACAGGAAAATTTCCTTTGTGCTCAAGGACACCCCTTCCTCCTGTTTCAATGTGGCATGGCAGATTGCGGCAACTACTTTCCATTTGTCTCCATTTACTGCTGTGTTGATGCTACAGATGTGGATCTGAGTTCAGAGGGGTACTTGCAGAAACTTCCAGGTGTTTGTGTCCAGGAACAAAGAATTAGAGCAAGAATACACGTGGACAGTGATACAAATAGGAACAGTTTATTCAGTAGGAAAAAGGCACTCCAGAGGATGGAAGTGGGTTAGAGTGCTATGACAGGTCATTTACATTGCACCCACCTTCTCCAGGAGATCTCAAGGGCTCTTGAATACCCTGTTACATGTAATCCAAGGTCTAAGGGGTTTTGTCTTCCTTAATCTTTCATGCTAAACTTTTTCTTTTAATTTCATTTATTGATTTAAATTTTATGTATATGAGTGTTTTGCCTACATGTATGTAAGTGCATCCATGTTGTACAATGCCCATGGAGGCCAGAAGAGGGCATTGGACCCCTGGACTGGAGTTGACAGTTGTTAGCAGCCCATGTGGGTGGTGGGAACTGACCCCAGTTCCTCTGCAAGAGCAGCCAGTGCTCTTAACTGCTGAACCATCTCTCCAGCCCCTTTTCATGCTATTCTTGAGGCCTCTCCCCTACCCCACTCTCCTGCCACATTGATAATGATCCAATAATGTTAATTGCAAGGAATATAAAATTGAGAAAGAATGGGGAAAAGTGAAAATACAACACGGATCATTTTTATTTTTATAATGATGGGAGAGGAAAAATCAAATGTTAAGTGAACAGCAAACAATGCTCCTTGGTAAAGAAGAGAAATCAGGGGCTGGAGAGATGGCTTAGTGATTAAGAGCACTAGCTACTCTTGCAGAGGACTTGGGTGTGATTCCCAGCACCCATATGGCAGCTAACAACCATCCATAACTCCAGTTCCAGGGAATCTGACGCCCTCTTCTGACTTTTGTGGACATTGCAGAACATGGGTGCACTTAGAAACATGCAGGTAATACACTCATAAAATAAAAATAAAATATTTTTTAAAAGAAAAGTCATAGCCTGATGGCCTCTTCCTCCTCTTCCTTCTTCCTTAACTTTCAATAGCAATAATATAATTTGGTTAAAAGACTTGTTTTAGGCCAGGCTTGATGGTGCACATGCCTTTAATCCCAGCACGGGGGAGTCAGAGGGAGGTGCATCTCTTTGAGATCGATACCAGCCTGGACTACATGCATTCCAGGCCCTGGGGCTGCAGGGAAAGCCTGTCTCAAAAGATTTAAAAAAAAAAAAAAAAGACTTGCTCTTAGCAGCAAGTCAAATGCTGGGAGATCTT